TGGCAAAACCACAATTTTCTGCATGATTCCTTTAATTACAAAATATCCATGATACATTAATTTCCCCTCCACAGACAGAATAGGTGGTTTCTCTATATACAGAAATGGAGAAAGTGCTTTCTGGCAAAACCACAATTTTCTGCATGATTCCTTTAATTACAAAATATCCAGGATACATTAATTTCCCCTCCACAGACAGAATAGGTGGTTTCTCTATATACAGAAATGGAGAAAGTGCTTCAGAATTTCAAAAATAGGCACTGTGCCAATGGAAATCCTGTTTCTTCTAATGAACAAGCATGTCCAAGAACAATTTGTGCAACAGTATGCAGGCCAAAATGGGAATGAATAATTTTGTAGGGAAGCACTATAAATTTCAAAGAAAATTATGCCCTTTATATATGTACAGCCCCTCCCATCCCATTTGACTGTAGTTTACAGGGAGCTGGTTCTAATTAAAAATGTATACATTTATTGTGATGCCAAACTATCTTTGTTGAATGCACAATTAGAAGTTCTTAATGAAGCAGGCACCAAACCTATAATAACATACCCATTTAACTGCAATTGCTGATTTTCCCCTTTGAATTGCCTTCCCCAAAACTGCATTGTTAAATGCCAATGAGGTTATTTCACTATTAGAGATGGGGATACCAGACTAAACTTCAGCTCATTCAAGTTGGGGGTATTCCACAAGTTTGCTGAACCAAATTTAAGGGCTGCACTGTTCAGTTATTCCCAAGACTCCAGAGCTTCTTTGTGCTGTGCTGTGGACATTAAACAGTTACTGGAAGTTCTAAAAAGTACCCTTTGAGGTCTTTTACAAAGCTTTCTCAAACTGAGAGTAGTGCCCAGGAACTGGGGCAGGGAGAATTGATAACATTTGAAAGACCTGTTGAAAGATAACTTATGAAAATGCAACTGCCCCCCCCCCCAGAATTCTTCATGAAATGTCAGAAACAGTGCAACAGTTCTGAATCAACTACTGAAGATATATTATGTTGGTGAATCAACTTTTAGCCAGGGATGCTGAGAACCTCAAAATAAAAACAATGGAAATTGTCTTAAAAGGTTGTTTAGCCTTAAATACAGTGCCTCTCTTGATCACCTTGATGATGTACTTGCATTTTAAACCAAGCAAATCAGATCGGCTTTGTTTGTGTATCTGGGTTGGTAGCAGTCAACATGGTCGCTTACTCAAAATCCACTTTGTAAATATATGTGCTGGTTCTGTGTTTCTGCAGTTCATGCCATTCATCAGTTGGTGCTATTGGGCATGTTGGTGCATAATCAGAATTTGCAGGACTGAATTACAGTTCCCAATTAACAGTGCAAAATACGTCATAATTTTGTGATCCATACTGTGTTGATCATAGCAAATCAAACAGTCAAAGGAATATTAGACAGTCAAGCCATGTAGTTGCCCTCCGCCCCCACTTTGCATAATCAAGACTTAGAGTGGGTCGGTGCTACTGCTTTGGGCAGATGGGTAGAAAGGGAAACATGCATGCACAAACATAGCCATTAGTCTAAGAAGACATTTGAATGTCCAAAGAAAACCTCAAAATTTTTCAAACATTTGACTGTTCGATAGCAATTTTCATCCAATTAGCAATTCAGAGGAATATTAAGCATCCATACTTTTAACTCAACCTAATATTTTTGCAGCAGAAAATCACATATACAGTAATGTCTCTGAATTGTGTTTGGAAATATCTGAGAAAATACCCCTGCCTGCTATTGCCACATTTTTTTCCAAACATAGTTTTTTTATATTGCGTAATAAGATGGTTTCATGTGGCACATTTTGGTTCACTTTTAAAGAATAAAAATAGAGATTAATGCTTTTAGTCATTTTAAATTATGTATTTGCATTTTTTTCATAATGTATGTCTTTTATTATGGTTTTAAGTGTACAACTGCACAAAACATTCAGGTTTTTGTATCATTTTTAATTTGTCACACTAAAGAAAGAGACTGCTTCTTCTGTTGCCTTTGCTGGTAGTTTCTAGATTCTCATCTATTGTGCTATATATAGAACCCCTTTGTGGTTACCAGAAATTGGACTGAAAGTTGCATAGATCATATTACAGAATAGTATAATCTGAGGAGAATGAAAATGGCTAATACAATATTGAAGTCAGCCTTATAATATGAAGAGTGACAATTTGATGCCTTTGGAGCTACTAATAACATGCAATACCCATTTTAGTATAATTTAAGAATAAAATTATGTGATGCAATTATTGATGGCAAGAAGATAATATGCTAGGACTTGTATTGCTTTACGACATAATGCAATTTATTAGCTGAAAGCTGTTTTTAACATTTTCCATTTCAAGTAGTACAATTTACAATCCTACGAGAATAAAAACATATTTCTGTCTGAAGGCTAAAAGTTTCTAATGTGGTACAAATGTAGTTAGTTGGCTTCACTTGATGTTCACATTGGTTTTGCCACTGAGAATCAGGTCACTTATGAAAGTTTATATAACATTTCCCGTAGGATCCCCTGTATACTTAAATCACTGGTTTGAGAGCACAGATATGAGAATACTCTGGATCCAATTTCCTCACAGTTTTGGTTCTAGATTTTTTAATGACATTTAGATGGATATGTGGATATCTTGAACAGATGGTCAGCCCCATTTATTTCTCTGGAGAGATCTTTTCTTTAGAGCTTTTCTATTCACTGTTTTGGAGAAGAGGGTCCAAAATTTTATGTCTTAAGAATCAACTTTTCAAATCATGTTAAATTTCTTACTATTTCCCCCAAATTCTTATGGTTATTTTAGTAGCCCAGAGATCAAATGTAGCCCTTTGTTGTTCAGTAGCAAGTTGTTCCTTGACTCAGTCAAGGAAGCCACGACCCTCAGTTTGCAATTCTTGAGCAAGGCTGTTAATGATAGGATGTTTTGGAGGTCATTAATTCATATGGTTTCTATAAGTTGGAAGCGACTTGGAGGCACTTAACACACACTGCAAGTCTAGGTGAAGTGTCTGCTGAGCATGCTCAGCTGGCCTAGATCTGGTTAGCCTTGTTGCTATCCCACTACTTTGTATGAATCAGGCAAATGAATAGAAATAGGGATGGAGGCTATTGCTTCAGATACTTTGGAAATAGGAGTAGGCAAGCTGGCTGTTAGACACTCCTTCAGATCAAATTCTTCCTGTTCATCCCAGGATTAACCACTTCCCTTAGCCTTTCTTAACTAAATATATAAGGAGGTAGTTAGTCACTTTGAGGGATCTGTTCAGTGTAAGCTCAGATAAAAGAAATTTATTACAAAACTAGCTGTGAAATTCTATCGCCTCCAAGTAGGGGATAGTAATTGCATTTCTTGGGAACATAATGGAATGCCAAAATTTGCTAGAACATAATATTTTCTAGAATATGAAAATGGATTGTTTTAAGGATTTACTGAAATATAGAAAATGAGGACTTACTCTGTTCTAACTGGAGCAGGGGAGACATATTCCTCCAGAACCAGTCAAGAGACCCTGATCATCGAAGTAAGGCCAATGAGCAAGTAAAATAGTTTTAGCATTTCAGCTCCAACATCCCAGCTCAAACTAAGTCAGCCTTTAATTATTCGAAAGAATGAGGTGACCCCGAAGTTCCGGGAATTGTACTCCTTTGGGCAAAAGTAAAGTTAGCTTCAGATGCCAGATTTAAACTTGGCTAATAAATTCCCAGTACACCGTGTACTAAGAGAGGTACTTTTTTATTTAACCATTTCCTGCTAATTCCAGCAGAAGGTTAAAAATTTGCTGCATTCTGTATATTTTTTATTATTAAAGGATGGAAGATCCACAGAATGCTGAGCCAGAAAAGGAAGAGAAGACTGAAAAAGCATCAGAACATCAGGTTATGCTTCCATTGGAAGAACGTATTACCCATTTTCGAGATATGCTTCTGGAAAGAGGGGTAAGGAAAAAAAATTGGGCTACCTTGATTCCAATAAAACTACGAAAACACAACAGAAATCAAGATTGTTAATAGGCATATTGCAACTTTGTCCTTATAAGGTCTGATGGCTCCTGTTGCTCCTGAAAATACATTTAAATGGTCGCTTTTTATCAGCATTTTCACTGCCTGTTTTTTGTGTTACTGATATTTGTTATACAAAAGTCTAGGTGATGTATGGGTCTCAAAGACAATGTTATTCCAACCTTAAGCCTTCCTAATGTTTCTTGCATCCTAATCCTCGTTTGTTCAGTCTGTTTATAGGCCACCTTTTAACTAAAGGCCCTTAAAATGGTTTACAGCATACATCATCCAATACAACAAATCAAATACAATAAAATCAAAATCTAATTAAATTACAGAAGTCTCAGTCTCTGACACAGATATAGTCTGAAAATCTGTGACCACAGTACCCCTCTTATTTCTGACTATTTTGACCCAGGTTTAACAACATTAAGAAAAGAGAACAGAACAATCCAACTGTATAGAAATATTGCTTTCTAAATTCACATGCCTTCTCCTGTGATTACATTCTGATGACAGGCTGTGCCTTATTTCCTTTTGCAAGCCAAATGGTAAGGCCAGATGGCCGGAGCAAACTTTATAACCATGCCATATAACCCACATTCTTTCACACGTCCATGCTAAAAGCTAGACAGGCTCCACACTAGGCCTCACATGAGTTTTGTCATGTAGGCAATGAAGAAGCTCTGGAGTTTGGGTCATCTGACTGCAGGAGGGGCCCCAAACTTCTAGCCAATCCTGTGTTGCAGCTATGACAACCAACAATTGGGCACACATCCCTGTCCACTCATGACTGGCTGAATGGCCATGGCTAATCATGATTAGATTGGGGTATAATTGATTGATCCCCATGGGAGTGAGTCTCTTAGCTCTTGCTCTCTTCTTCCTCTTGCCATTGTCTGCTTATTGCACCTGAAATGCTGTCTCTTGGGAAACAAAGAGCTGCTTTGTGAATTGGACCACAGGCCTGTGCAAAATGGGATTTCTCTTCAAAATCCCTTGGTCTGTCTTGGACTGTTGGATGTTCCTGAATTTGGTAACAATGAATCTCATTAATGTGTAGTTAAGGCAAATCGCCATAGGTTTTTATTGTTTTTAGTATCCTCTACTAGTCTGTTTGCTATGCTCTGTACTGAATAAAGATCCTTCTTATTTCTAATTCTCTCTGATGTTGTAACTTGAACTCCAAGGCTAAATCTTGTGTCTGACGCCGACCACTTATGCTACCTTTATTAAGAGTAAAGTGTGCATCTCTGAGTAGAGCTGCTGATGTGTAAAACCCAGATGCCAACTAAGGGCTTGAATCTCTTCTCTTAGGAAAGGCAGGGACTATTGAAAGAGATTCTGGTGGTAAATTGTTGTGAGACCAGAGATGGTACAGACTGTCTCATGGCTTGTTGTTTAATGTGCTAAAAGTGCAGGGTTCCCTCACATTCCTGGACTGGACTGAGTGGGTTAATCCTGTACACCAACTCATGTGTTTGATATGCATTTGATAGTTATTTACCTGTGATTTTCTGAAATTAATGAAGATTTGCCAAGTTTATAATCTGGAGTATATTTAGCCTGTCATCTGTGAGTTGAACTCCAGAGATATATGTACAATTGCTAGTTTGGCTTACATTCTATTCACCAGTGACAATCAAGGAGATAATTAATCCACAAGTTGTTCATCTGCTTCCAATCTAATTGCCTTTGTTCACAGGAACAGGGTACTTACAGCCATCAGAATCTGACTGCCCTCTGATGAGGGATCAGCTGGGAGTCAGATTGTGATTTCACACTGGGGGAATTTCACTGTATACCCAGTAAAGTACTGGGGTAGGGGGAGCCAGCTCTGAGCTGATTGCAGAAATCAGCTGTAAATCAGGTTCTTCTGACATCCAAGCCTGGAAAGTTGTGGGAGGGGGTCATCAGAAGCTCAGCTGATTCCCTTCTTTTCTCTCCACCTGAAACTGACAGCTTGGGCTGAGAAAAAACAGGAGTGATTTACTCCTATTCTCTGTAGCCCAAGATGCCAGCTTGGGGGAGAAGCAATCTACATCCCTCCCCCCAGCTGAGAGTTTGTAAATAATAATAATAAATAAATTGGGATGAGAACAGGATCATTAAATAATAAATAAATTGGGATGAGAACAGGATCAAACTCCCCCCCCCTTCCTCCCAAATGACTACTTGGACTGCATGTGGAACAGGAGCTATCTGGTTATATTCTGTGTAAACCAAGTTCTCAGTTTGGGGTAGAAGAAGCAGATCACTGCTTCCCACCAAGTTCTCAGTTTGGAGAGCAGGGAAAGAAGTAGATTGCTTCAACCAAGCTGCTTCAACCAAGTTCAAGCTGCTTCAACCAAATTGCTTCAACCAAGTTCAGCTGTAGAGAATGATGCAAATGGCCCATGATGTCCTGCAGCCCAAGCTGTCAATCCATTTTGTCAGTTTTGGGTAAAGTGAAAGAACATTTCCTTGTTTACAGGTTGCTCTTATCCTTTGTAGCCCAAGATAGCAGCTGGGGCAGGTAGGAAAAATGATCTGCTCTCCCTCCCCCCCTCCCCACAAAACCTCTGGTACTGCAGAGAGCAAGGGTAGGCTGATTTTTTTCTCTGCAACTAAAATGACTGGGATGGAGGGGGAGTTTGGTTAACTTCACCCCCTACCGTAAACTTTCTCCTGTGTTCTGACCTTGTTGGACTAGAAAGATAAGCTGGGGTGGTGGGGTTGAAAATGGAGAAGCTCAGCTGATAACAGCTGAGAGTCAGCTTTTTATCTCCACCTCCAAACTTCTCACCTGGACTCTGCAAAGTTACAAGTCAAGAAATTTGGGAGGCAGTTTCTGTTTGCCAGTTGTTTGAGTTGCTCATCAGGAACTGAACAGATTGGGTAATGTGGGCTCACCTGTATTTGGAACAGCTGAATGCAGTATATTCGGCTCTTGAACATGTTCACCATGAAATTCATAGCAACCCTATTGAACTATTGGCAGGTGGCTGTCAGCTGTGCTGCCATGATGTTTATGGGCAGGAGTGCCTTTCCTTGACCTGTGTACCAGCTGTTGCTGCATTCCTTCATTCCTTATTATCTCTGACCTTGTAGGCTGCCTGTATAGTGTCTTCCCATCAATTACCCATTTCGATTCCCAGCTTTGGCTTTAACAACCTGGGGCCCCATCAGGAGTCAGGCCGATTGGCCTAGGGATGGGGGGGGGGCTGCATACTTTTTGTTAGGAATCCTCTTTCTCTATCTACATGCCTCTCTCAACCCAAGATTGTTTTGGCCAAAGTCTTCTGCAGTTGGGGAGTCCCCTTTGAAAGAGATTACAGTGGTTATTTCCATATATTTACAGTGATATATCAGTACTTTCCCGCCCAGATAGATGTTGATTGAGTGGGCAAGAACTATGGGATCATTATGTGGTTCAATAATTTATGTTCAATTTTCAGCCATATAGGATCATACTGTGGGTAAACACTACATGTGAAAGTGTCCTTA